GTTGAAATGATGGCATGAAATGCAAGACAATGCATGCACATGCTCTAGCCCACAACTAAGCATAAAAGTATAACTCTCAAAAGTGCTCAAGGAGTGACAAATGTAAGAGTGTAGCAACACTATAAGCACTAAATAAGGTATGAAATGATGCCAAATCATTCAATCAATACAAGCATGGCATGCTAGGGTCCTTAAAGCATAAAGCTACCAAAGAGGACTACAAAGGAGGCATGCAATACATGGTACAAAGCCATGAACCAATCATGGACAGAGTTCAAATAGGTCTAAACAAAGACCAAAATATGCTAAGATTGAGGCACAAATGCCTAGGCATGCATGCATACACACTAAGCCACAAACAAGGAAACAAATGCACAACCCTTAGAGGCACTCAAAGGGTGAATGAAATGGGAACATGGCAATGCTACATGCTCTGAAATGTCATGTGGAATGATGCCAAATCATGTACATGATACAAATGAAGCAGGCTATAGTGCCCAAAACTTAAGGCTAGCAAGGCACTTGCACTACAAGTATGCAAAACATGAAGCATATGGCAAGGGCAACCCCAAAAAATCCTAAAACATGTTAAAATGAGTCTAAAACATGTATGGAAGGAAGCCAAAATATGCTAGCATGAAGAGCATAAGGCATGATGGATACAAGGCAAATAAGGTGGATTACACTACACCTATCAAGACCAAGCATGAGATGGCTTCGCCAATAAAAATCAGAGTTATATCATGACAAAATAACTCCAAATACATATTGAAATGATAGCTCGCAAGCTTAGGCATGAAGGCATACGCAAAGACTCATGTTCAAGGCATAAAGGACCAACCCTTCAACACATTGAAAAAGTAAAAGATGTGAGTGCATGGCAATGAAACATGGTCTGAAATCACATAAAAAATGATGCCAAATCGTTCAAATAGGTCAAGCAATGCATGCTAGTGGACTTGATGCATAAAGCTAACAAGCTAGGATGAACCATAGCTATACAAATCATGGCATGCATGGCCAAAACAACAAAAATTAGAGCTTAAGCATGCTAAAACATGACCAAAAGCTTCTTAGAGTTAAGCCAAAATCATGCTAGAATGACATGTTAAAGCATGATACACATTAGGCTAATTCATGGAATTGCACTACAAGTGCATGGAGCATGCAAGGGCCAACCAAACCAAACCTTAACAGAGGTATGACATGACAAAGCATCACCAAGAACATGCTGAAATAGAATCAAATCATGCTAGAAAGGCATGCTACTTCATGAAGCATACAAGACTAGTTTGTGAGAAATACACTACAAGTGTATAAACCATGCAAGGAGTGAGTCCACCAATCAAAACCAAAGTTATAACATGTCAAAATAACACCAAAAACATACTTGAACTATGCTAATTCAAACCACAAAAGCATGCTACTTTGTAAGGCTAACAAGGCTAGCAAAGAGGATTTACACTACAAGTGCAATAAGCATGCAAGAGGTGACCAAGACAGCCAAAAATAGAGTTATGGCAGGTCTGGTAAGTCACAAAAATGAGCCTAAACAAAGCCATAAAGAAGTAAAAACACATGCTCATTTGGTTGGCCATCAACACTAGCAAGCAAGACAAGAGGAGAGGGGACCACCCTCTCATATTTGGGCCCTCAAAACAGGGTTTTTACCACTGAAAATCTTTTGAATTTCAGTGGTTCTAAGGCCAAAAAGAAGTTGTTTGAAAAGTTTGAAAGTTAGCTTACAAGGCCTTACAAGCCAAGGAGCAAAAGGGAGGACAACCCCCTAGCCAACCAAGGCACAAACCAAGACTTTTAGGACTGAAAAATAGAGGAAAAACAGAGGTTTTTGTAGTTCAACACCACCCCAAAAAAACAGCCCCAAAGTAGTATGACAAGATGCCAAACAAGTGTGTAAAACAAGCTTAAAGGGAGAGAGATCTTACCCTTGATGCACAACTGCAAAATGGCCTCTTTCTTGGCTCAAATGACCCTCCAACAGCCCAAAAACCAGTTCCAAGAGACCTCAGCCCATGGGTATGCAACCTTGATGAAGGATGCCTAGGCAAACTAGTTGTATTTCTCTACATCTACGCACTTCTATGCACAAAAGGGGAAGAAAGAGTGAACTATAGAGAGAGAGGCAGAGATTTAGGTCTGAAAATTCTAGAAAAAGAGGAGCTTTTAGAGAGAGAGGCTCCCCAAAATTGCTTCAAGAAGTTCTTCCTTTTAAAAATGAGATATTTGGCTCCATATATAGCAAAATGCAAGAGTTTGGTTGAAAATATCCAAGTATGGGACAGCTGGAGGTTGTTGTAGACACCCCATTTTTGACCGACCTTAAGACTCAGACGTCACCGATTGAGCGCTTGGTGATGTTGCATAATGTGCTCGTTCAGAAGTTTCAGAGTCTCAGCTGTGAACCCTGCCTCCGGACTTCCGAACCCTCTTCTGTGCCTTGCCTCGGAGATTAGGAACCGTGACTAACAAGAGTCGAGTCCGAGCTGTAGCGAGGCCCCCCCGCGGGCTTGTTACAGTTGTGTGGAACAGTTGGAGATGAAATATCTTCAAAAAATCTGAGTTTGGGTCACTCTTGGCCGATCGGCCATCTTTGGTGCCGATCTGCCATTTATCTGCTACTTTTTTGGCCGATCGGCCAACAAAATCTGCTTTTCACGCCCAACTTCAAATGGGCATAACTCCCTCATATGAACTCCTTGTTAGGTCATTATTGTGTCCAAATTGAAGCCCCGAAAGTAAGATTTCCAATGGTGGCAGTCTGACATCAAAATTCTAAATGTGCTAAGAGATATCACTCTTTTAGTGAAGACTGTTCAGTTTCGATCCAACCGGAATGATGCCCAACTTCAATCAATCATATCTCCTCCATCCGGAATTGCTTTTAGGAGATTCTTGAGTGCAAAATGAAGCCCCAGAAGTCTTCTTTCCAGCATGGTGGCCTCATAGCTTAAATCCAAGTGCATAGACAGATAGTTCTGATTTAGCGAGGACCGCTCGACTCTCTCTTAGCGATTCATACCCAACTTCTTCCTCAACTAGGTTTCTTCCCTCTTTTCCTCTTTTCTTCAACTCCAAACCCCTAAACAAGGTGTTTTGAAAGATTATTCAAATATTTCATCTCTCTTCCATTCATTTTCACTTTGTCCTCGCTCGATTTACCGAAAAGCGCAACATTTGACAAAATGCGAGTCTCGAAACATCGTAGAAATTTCTTTTCAAAAATTTTTGAAAGAAAGGGTTTTAAAGTCTAAAAACCATTTAAAATAGTTTTGGTCTAAAACGGGGTGTAAGGTTGGGATTTAATTCTCCTCTTGCCGAAGGAATCGAACTTTTGCTCTGTACATCTTTCAACACCAAGTAAACCATCAGTAACGGCCAAGTCTTAAGGGCGGTAAAAAATAGAGTGTCTACATAGTGGAATCGAATTTCGATTCCGTGAACGTACACTTCACATTGAGAGAATCATGCAAAAATTATTGTGTCGTCGTTGATTTAATTTTTCTGCATTAGTTTTTATTTCCATTGATTGAAAAATTAAAATTTTAGTTAAAAAAGTAAAAAAAATATTACAAAAAATATATATATTTTTGTTTTTTATTTTTTTTATACATCTTTTCATAAATAAGTAAAAAATTAATAGAAAAATTAATTTCCAAAGATATTCGAGAATAAATTATTTTAATTTTTTATAAAAGAAGTGAAAAAAATAAAGAAAATAATGTCATTAGATATTTTGATTTAATCACAACCCAAGACATGGGGCCTACATGGTTCAGTTCTTCGAGTAGAAAGAAACACATTTTAAGCGTTCGGTGGGGGCTCTCTCATTTTCTTTTTGAAAATGTTTTAACGCTTTAATTTTGGATTTCAAATTAATTTTAAATGATATAACATGAGTCAGATTATTTAAATATTTTATTAAAACATAAAAATTATCTAATAAGTTTTTGGCATAAGTTTAAAATTAAGGATTCAAAATAAATGTATTATTACTGTGTATCTCTGTCAACATCAGTTGTACGGCCCATTGACTTCTCCAAGCCTCACACGATAGAGAAATCATAGTAACTTTTGGTTTAATTTTTAAAATTTATTTCTGTTTTTAAATTACAAAAATGCTTCGAACCTCACTAAATTCGACCCCCACGACCAGAGTTGAGTTGGAAAGTCACGTGAGCGGTCATGTGACTTTCTGACCCACGCATCTCCTCTTTGAGGGTGTTTAGTAGGGTTTTTTTTAGCCAACTTACTTCTGGCTTTTAAAAAGTTATTTTGGACTGTTTGGTTAAACTTATTTCAAACAACTTCTGATTCTAATAACTTATTTTAAGTGAAAAAAGCTGATTCTGAAAAGCTGCTCACCCCTTGCTTCTGATTATCAACTTCTGCTGTGGACATATTAATTCACGGTTATACTCTTAGATTTTTTTATTTTTTATTTTTTTTTAAAATAGAAAAAGACACAAATGGACTATAAAATATTATTATTATTTTTTATGAGAAATGTAGACAGATAGTGAATAATAAAAAATAAAAGTTAATTAAAAAAGCTACTTCACAGCTTATTTAACAAACACTACTCAGCAACTTAAATCTATAATCCAACAGCTATACCAAACAGATTAACAACTTATGATTAAAGTCATAATCTATAATTTGTTAAGCTATAATCTATAATCTATTTTAACAGCCACACCAAACAGCACCTTTGTCTCTCCTCATTCATAATTCAAAATTGGAGCTGAGTTATCAGAGAGATATAGATCTCTCATCTCTCGCTCACCTCTTATTTTTTTGTTCTTCACTCCGACGGTCGACGACCTCTTCAAAATCGACGCCCTACAAGCTCCTTGAGTTCAACGCCCAACAGCTCCTGTTTCGCTGTCTTTCCCTTCACTCCGACGCTCGACTCGCTCTCGCTGTTATTTTAACACAATTATCTTCCCAAACAAGGGTAAAAGCAAAATTTAAGGCATATATATATATATGTATATATATTAGGGCTTGTAGATATATATATGTATGTTGTATATATATTAGGGCTTGGGATAAACAAGATGGGTTGAATGCTTGAAAATGTTGGAATTAGGGCTTTTGACAATCTCATAAACAACTTGAATCTTGGATTTTGGCCTTTTGATTTGGGAATTGAGTATACTTTACCTTACCTACCACCTGCTCGATGAAATTTCTCTACCAAATTTTCCACTCATTCATAAATTATTCTATTCATTTGGGTATGGTAAATGGCTTGGGAATGACTTCTTGCGTTTGATTTCAACATTTCTTGGTTGTTCATTGATTTAGTATGGTAATTGGTTGGTTGATGATATTGAGTTCTTAGTAGTTATTAAATTGTTGTTGGCCATTTTCAAAGTAGTTATGTATTGATTAGTGTGGGTTCAAATGGGTTGGTCATTGTTAAACATTGTTAAATGGGTTAAATTGTTGTTCAGTAAATGCCTAAAATTGAACTCTGAATTAGCATAATACAACTACTTAGCTTACTTTAGGTCAGATATTGTGGTTTTTTTTTTTTTTGCTTTTACGTTTTTTTATCAGCTGGATTTGTGAAATCATGATCAAGTATTTAACTTAGGCAACCTTTGACACTGTTGAGAATTTTTTTGGTGTGGATATGCCCCATCATTGGGCTTGAAATAGAAAGATTTCGCATAAAATTGAACTCTAAATATGTCCAAATTGGTGGATAATTGCTGTGAACTCTAAACTTGTCCAAATTGGTGGATAATAAAGACATTGAGAGGCCATCCTACCAATCATCTCTGCCATCTCATAGACTCATAACCCTGTTGCTGCTACTACTGCTCTATTTGGTCACATCTCCATCTGTTTGAGTTTCTTTAGTTCTTCCATTTATCATTGAAACACATAGGCACTCAGGATGTGTCAAGAGGTACCATTTTGGATAAATCTTGATTGGATAAATCAAGATTAAGTTCTGTTACTTTTTGGATAAATCTTGATTCTACCTATCAATGTGTTTAAAGTTCTATTACTTTTTGGTCCATACTTCTTCACTCTTCATCAACCAAATGTGTGACATGTCAATTCATCAGAGGATTAAATCCCACCTCATGAAATGCTTCTCTCTATTGATGATTAAGTTCTCTGATTCATATGGTTCAGTATCCAGCAAGATTGAAACTGTACTAATCTGAAAATTCTATAGCTCATTTAAAAATTCAATGTCTTAGGAGTTAAATTTGGGTGTTCGGTTTTTGTGGCTGTTATTTACGTTGTAAACATTTAAATAAATTTAAATTTAAACACTGATTGTAATAGTTTAATGAGGATAACTTGTTTTTGCAGATGTCAAGTTCAAGTGTCAATGTGGTGGCTCAGATCGGTTGACATACTTGAACAAAAATTGTCCAAGATGTAATAAAACGGCCACTATTCGAATTTCGAGACCGATCGAAACAAAAACAAGTTATTCTATTCTTGCATTGATTGTGGTAGTTTTATTGGATGGTGCCTTCCTATCAATTCACAATGTAGAGGCCATGAAATTTCAAGACAAGCACAAGGAGAAGTGCCAACTGTCGGCGAACAACTTCAATGTATGACCGAACAACTTTGATCTATGACCGAACAACAAAGATCGATGATGAAACAACTTCGAATTCAGAGCACAAAGAAGCAATATGTGTTGTTTGTGTTGCTTGTTATTGGTGCCTTATTACTTATGAAGATGTAATAATATTTATATATATATATATATGCAACTAAGAAGTAGAAGTAGAAGTAGAGTGAACACTATTGTATGGTACTGTGATGTTTTACACCCAATATGTATTGTACCTTTTTTGACTTTTGTTGACCTCCAATATTGGTTATGTATTGCATGTGTTTGCCATTTGAGGTGCTGTTGAATATTTGATGTTAACAGATTGATATTGAATAGAATGAAAAGTTTCAGGTCCTTCTGCATGTTAACAGATTGATACATATTTATTTCTTTTTTTTGCATGTGTACAGATTGATGTTAACAGATTTTTCTGCATGTTAACAGATTTATTTCCTTCTGCAAGTTTCAGGTCCTTTTGGAATTATGAGAACAACTATATATGCTATTTATTTCTTTCCTTTTGAAGTTTCAGGTCCTTTTGAAAGAAATGAATATCAATAAAAGGAAAAAAGTTGATTGTATGACGTTGCTGTTAGGTCACATGACAGTATTAGGCTAAAATATTACACTGTGAAGTGAAAATGCCATAATGATAAAGACAATGGTAAAAATTATAAGAGCTAAATTCAAGAGATTGAGAATGATTGCAAACAAAAAGATTACTTTATGCAGAACCATAATCCATATATAAAAACACAATGATGTAAAAAAAATAATATTGAGCTGAAGTTTCCCTCCAATCACCAAATAACTGCCAAATTCCTATTCTATAGCTTCAAATAAATCATCAAGAACTGTTGTTACTTTTACCAAGATAAATATAGAGACCTCACCCTGTTTCTATCTCCACCAAACCCAAACCCTCTTGAAAAAACCCTTCAATTGCATGTTCTCAAATTTAAAAGCCCCATTCAGTAGACCCTACTTTCCCACAAGATTGACACATGATCTTGGATTGGCTAAGGCAAGAATTATGTTGTAAATAATGAAAGATGCTTCTCTCCCTTATCCAAAATCAAATTATATTTCCTACCGGAGGGTGTCAATCATAATGTTACAATCAATGAACTCCATGAACTGTCTACGCCTACAGAAATCTGTAGGGACCCAACATTTTCACTAAGAAAGCCAATAAAATCAGGAGCGGAAGGCACAGAATCTAAGCAACAGAATTTGCCCTGGGATGTAGCTCCCTCAATCCAGACCAAAACAGCTTCCTATCAGAAGCAGAATTGCGGAACCCTGTATAACTGGTTCAGATCAAGTAGGACCAGCAAGGTCAGGAGCAGAAGGCACAGAATCACCAAGGTTATCACAAACAGCAGTTGTGTCAAGAGTTTTAGCAACCATAAAGAAATAAATAACCCAGGCACAGAAAGTTCAATTAACAAGTCAAACATGTCTATAATAAGGTGGGACAGAACATTTTTTACACATCTAAGGTGGGACTTAACATAATAAGTTCTAATCTCTAAAACTAATTGTAAAAGTTCAATAAACAAGTCAAACATGTCTATAATGTCCATCATTCATTCTCGGAGTTTATGCATTAGAACCCGATGGGGTTAGAGATCCAGAACCAAAACTTTGAGTTGGTGCATTCATCAAACTTCCTAGTGTGCCTCTTATAAACTCCGATGGGGTAACAGATGTGCCTTCAATAGCATTTACCACCTGTGATAATTCAAGTTAAAAAGTAGATGTTACAAAAATAAAATTTTAAACGAAAACAAGCAATTGATGTAAAGTCGTCTTATGAATACGTACCGGTACATACATACTATTCTGCATGCCACCCATATAAGGATAATACAATGCATAAGCTTGAGCTTGAGCTTGAGCTTCAAATCGAAGCTCCTTAGCGGTCTACATTTTTTCAAGAATGATTAATGATTGAATTGCTATAATCTAAAAAACAAAAATAAGTAACAAGTTGAATTGAATATACACTTTACCTTTGCTTTTGTTTGTTTTTTTGCCGTTGCCTTGAACCGATTGACTATTTGATCTACGTTGGCAACCTTTTGTTTCGTAACTAGACGGCCTCTTCACCGAGCAACCAAAGGACTGATCACCTTCCTAGTAGTAGACACTATTGTAGAACTGGTGGCAATCGGACTTTTTCTACAAGATGGTATGAAAGTAGTACAAGCTTGTAAATTACTCCCACTACCAGATTCATCTTTCATGACTCTATCCTTCATTTCATCCAACCCAAGGTCTATCATTTTAATTTTCCCTTCACAGTTACTAGCAAGTTGTACAATGCCAATCAATTTCTTGTTCATCCTCTCATAACAACTTGCATTGAAATCACCTCCAAAGCCACTGTATGTGGTTTTGATGCATGTGTACTCTCGAACCAAATCTTTTCTTCAATGCCTCTAAACTCAAACAACCGACACATACATTGAACTTCACATTCAATTGAATTAAAATATACAACAAAGTCCACATGCTTCATCTTCTCACAAACTACCATCGCTTCTTGGACATTATATGTACAAATTGATTCTTCCTCTTTCACAATCACTGCCTAACAATAAACTAATCTCTTCAACTCTCCTTGAACTTCTTTGAATTTTGCATTGGTGTATGTTTGCTGAAATTGCTTCTCAAAGCCATATATAGTCAGACAATCAAACAATTTGTGTCGAGACTTGAAGTCTGATTTCTTCTCTTTCTCTACCTTGCTTCTCAATGCATTGTCATATTGTTCAACAAATTGCTTTAATGTAGTTTTCGGGTTGACATATCCATCAAAAAATGCATTCATACTTTCACTTCATTGTGTAACTGACATGCCAAACCAAAATATGTCTTTAACATATACATAAACCCATCGATGCCGCTCATCATATAGTACCCCCAACCAGTCATTATTATAAAAATTGAATTTTGTAAGCATCTTTTCCCATTGATTCTCAAATTCATCTCTTGTCAAACAGTCATAAACTGTATTTTGCATAGACAATTTTATGCGTTCATACTCAGCATATCCTTTCAACTTCTCCGGAATTTTCTTCATTATATGCTATAAGCACCATCGATGTCGAGCCTATGGAAATACAATTTCTATAGCATTTTGCATAGCTCTGCACTGATCAGTTATGATAGCTTTTGGAGGACGGTTTGACATGCAACTTAACCACGACTTAAATAGCCAAACAAATGTGTCAGTGTCTTCACTAGATAACAATCCACACCCAAGTGATTAACTCCTACAAATGGAGCAAATGGTATGTCATATTTGTTTGTCAGATAGGTTGTGTCAAATGAAAAAACATCTCCAAATGTTTCATAAGTAGCCCGACTCTTTGCATCAGCCCCAAACAAGTTTCTAATGTGACACTCATCATTAACGTCAATCACATAAAAGAATCTCTCACTATGTGCTTGCATCTTCATAAAATAACTTTGAAGTGATTGGGCATTACCTTCCCCAAGCCTTAATCTTCTACCTCTATCAATGTAATTCTTTGCATTTTGCTCATCAAATGTTAATGACTCGTATCCCCCCGCTTCAACAACCATTGAATGATAGTTCCTAGACACCCCAATCCCCGCTTGATCATTAATTTCTAATCGTCTCTTCATAGGAGTAAGAATTTTCTTATTCATTGTAAAATGACGTGAGTCAGTGGGAATCAAATCATGATTATACTCAAGGTTAACTGTGGTTAACATATATCTCCCATCCTTTTGTAGACTACCTCGTACCCTTGCTTGGTAATCGATTTTTGTTGACAAAGATGGCTTCAAAGGGTTCATTTCTGATTTTTTTCCCTCTCCCTTGCTTGAGAACATTCAATTGCAAAGTTTTTTAATTGTCCATCATCTCCAAAATGTTGTGCTCTATGAGCTATAGAAAATCCAACATGCTTAGCATATTTGCCATAAAATGTGTACACTTCCTCCCTTGAGAGAAAATACTTACCCTTCTTAGGTTCTTCAACTTGTTCACCCTCATTTACTGAAGGATTGTTACCACCATTTGAATCAACCTCCATTCTTCCACTTTGAAAAATGAAATTGAAATAGAATGATTTTAGAATGTTTACTGGGTAAGTCCAAGTTTTCAAACACTAATAAATTATAGCAACTTCATCTAATAAGTAATATTTGACATGTTTAGAAGTTCCACAAATAGAAGTAAGACACTAAAGTTTGTTAAAAAAAAAAGATAAGAAAAATAGAGACTAATTTCAATAGAACAGATCAGAGAACACAGAATAGAACAGAGACAATCTATACATTAACAAAATGATTAACAAACTAATTTCAATGTAAAATATAATGGGCTCACATTAACAAATTGGAACAAAGAACAATTTGTGTAGTCACAGACCTGGAACACAGAACAAACTATTTCTGAATGTATTCTCAAACTGAAACTGATTAACCCTCTCTGATTGATGAATGTATGTGTGTATGAACACAGAACACATTAACAGAGAGATTGATGAATGTAGTCACACAGAACAAATTATTTTTGAATGTATTCTCAAACTGAAACTGATTAAGTCTCTTTAATGCGTTCACACTCGGCATTGCGGACATACATAGAGATTGATGAATGTATTCACGCTGAATGCATTTACATAGAACAAACTATTTCTGAATGTATTCTTAAACTGAAACTGATTATTAAGCCTCTTTGATTGATGAATGTATGTGTGTATGAAGGCGAGAGAGAGACAGAGAGACAGAGAATGGGGGGAAAATATTACCTCAGAAAAAAATTGAAGATTCAGGAAACCGATAGACAGATGGACTAGGGATGAGGGCTATGGCCGGCGATGGTCATCAATTTCCGGAGAGCTATGGCCGTCAATTTCGTGGGAAAGAAAGTTAGCAGACGGACGGACCAGGAAAGCGGGAATCAGGAGAGCGACAGACAGAAACGATGCGAAGAGCTATGGCCGTCGATTTCTAGACGGAGTAGGGAAGAAGGAAGAGTAAGGTTAGGTGTTTTATTTATTTATTTTTTATTTTATTTTTTTATCTCAAAGGTGCGTGGATCACACCTTACTAGAGTGCAACTATTCTTCACATGCTAAAGGCAATTGCTAGCTCAGTGGGGGTGTTGGGGTGACCTTCCGCGGGGGTTTGAAGCACAGCTGTTTAGATTATGATTTGAATCAAAATTTATAATTAAATAAAATTTTAAAATATAATTTAAAATTACTTTTAAAACTCTATTATTATTATTATTATTATTATTATTAATTAATTAATTAATTAATCAATTAATTACTTTTTCTTTCTCATCTCTCATCTCTCCTCTCACATTTTCTCACATTCTATATATTAATTAATCAAAAAAAAAAAAAAAAGTACAAATCATCTCAAAATTATTTTTAGAACTTTCACTTTTCAAATCATGATTTAAAAACTCAAAACTCAAAACTCAAAATACAGCTTCGCACTCAAATCATAATTCTAAAACTAAACCACTCAGACCCTAAAATGGGTGTTTGGGAAGATGGTTATTTTAGTAGGTTAAAATTTTTGTGTTGGAAAGATGATTGAATTTTTTTTTTTATAGTTAGATGTGATATTTGTGAGAAAAAAAATAAAATAATTATGAATTTATTATCATATTTTATCTTATTAATTATTTTAACATATGTTGTCATTTTGTAAAGTTTAACTGAAAAAGCAAAAATAACCTTTTCCAAACAAGGCCATAATTTGCTTCACGATAAATGTAGGGAGTGTACCAATTTGAATATTATTAGTTAAAATAGCAAATTTTCTTCATCATGTTTGTTTTCAATTTTTTGAAACCACTTTTTAGAAAATTATACTTTTTTATTATTAGAATTTTTTTTACTAAGTTTTTTAATATTTTAAGCAATTTTTTTTAAAATTTTTTTTAGACATATCTAACATAAATACAATTAAAAAGTATAATTTTCGTGAAAAAATTCTTTAAAAAATTCATTAAATACCAAAAATATCATATATATATATATATATATAAGTTTAGTATATTTTTTGTATTTTTTTGTATTTATTAATTTTTTAAAATATTTTTTTACAAATATTTTACTTTTTAGATACATGTAAGTAAGGTGCATCTAAAAAAGTAAAAAAATGTTTAAAATTTAGAAAATATTCACTAAAAATAAAAAAATACGAAAAATAAAAAACTTAGGCTGTGTTCGGTGGGGCTCTGTAATCAATTTTCTACCCACTGATTTGAATGCTATGTTTGGTTTAATTTTCAAAAATCATTTTCACACCCGCGTTTGAAAACTCGTCTACTCGGTCATCCCCTTGGACGTTCGGCCAGTTAATCAGAATTGTGTTTTTTTTTTTTTTGGACACCTTTGGACACCTGTTATTTTTATATTTTAAATAAAAAATATTTTCAGAAAATTTTTTTAAATTTTTTTATGAGTTTTAAATAGAATTTTGTATTGTGTGTTTGGTTATAAATTGCAAGTTTTTGAATCAAATATCATGTCACATAAAAAATTTCAAACTCAATTCAAAACTCTTTTCAAAACTCTCTTCAACCCTCATATTCAAACAAATTTTCCTCACTCAAATCATAATTTCAAAACTCACAAATTCAAAATCCAACTATATTTTCAAATTATAATTCTAAACTCTATCAAACACTACCTTAATTCTCAAAAAAAACTGAATTTAAAAAATTAAAAGCAGCCACATTAATTTTTATTTTGTCTCATTTAAGGAGATAATAAAACACTTACGCAAAGATAAAATGGCGTGCACCAACACTCCAAAACTACCAAATAACTTCTCCACACAGGCACCCAAAATAATTTTCTGAGGCAGCGCACAGTCTACGGACTGTTCAACCGAAAAAAAACAAAAAAATAAAAAACGAAACATTACCAAAAAAAGATCAAAACTAAAAGTAATGGAGAAAAAGGTCAAATAAAATACTAAAATATCTCCCTCCAAATAAATAAATAAATACAAAAATGCAAAGAATATCTTATAATTTGTTAATTGGTTCAAATATAGGTGGGAATCAGGATGTAATTATGGCTCAACCTGGCCCGTGGCAGGCCTCGCAGTCTCTCGCCTCTTTGACGGGCTGGGCCGAGCAAGCCTGCTAGTCGAAAAGTGGGGTCCAAACCCAAACCCAAGTCCAGAGCCACTCCGAATAGGGCCAAAGGTTGAGCTGGCGAGCCTAAGCTTGGGGCCGAGCCTGGAGGGACTTTTTTGTGACAACCCCATACAGGCATATTATTTTTGTATTATTTCATTGAATATATTTGTATAATTATGTGTTTAATTTGTTTTTATCTATTTGTTTATGGAAAATCTGTCTAAGTGCTTATTTTGAATTGGAAATTGAAGGCCGAAACGGATTCAGAAATCGAAATTGACTAATTCAATAGGCTACTTAAAATATTTAGAATCATATTTAATTAAAATTTAATTCGGATAAAAATAATGAAAATAAACTAATTAGAATTGATTAGAACTAAACCAAATTAATTAAGCTTAATCCCACTTAATTAGTCTAACCTATTTCACCTATATATATATATGCCATACGAGCTTAATTAACTCATTTTCTACAACTCTTGAGCTGAAATTTTAGAGTGAGTGAGAACATCAACTATAGAGAGAGAAGTACAGAGATTCTAGAGAATTGAGAGGAGACTTGAAGAATTTAAGCTTCTAACACTTGAATTCAAGCCCTAGGTATGAATTACAACTATAATCTTTGTAGATAATCTGTTAGAAATTGGGCGCCCATGTGGCATGACCCTTAGAACCTTTTGAACCTCATCCAATGATGGGTTTTCATTTGAATTTGAATTTGGAATCCTATCCAAATAGGTTTTGAAATTGAATTCAAACCTATTTAGGATAACCACTCAAGATACAGATATTATCAGTTTTAACTGATATGGATAGATATAATAATATATTATATATCTGATATATGGTTATGGGTAATTAAGAGAGAAACAACGTATGATCTGTTTCTACCCATATACTGACTCTCTCCTAAAAACAAACGATCAAAGCCATTTGCACTGTGGTTTGTGTGGGTGATATTCAATCTGTAATATCACCCCACTGCTGGGATTGATTGATTAGATTCTGGAAGCACGCGATTTATCCACGAGGTTTTAGATCAAAAAAAAGGTATGATCTAAACATTTTATTCCGCTGCATTTTTTATACTTTGATTTACACTTAGTTTATATCTATGAATGAATGTCCTTTTTGAAAATGTATTCGTGGTATCCTTTAGTGAGGCCTTGCTTGGGGGACATAATACCATGGCCCATGGATTAATTAAAGCACAGAGATATCTGATGTTAGATCCTAGCAGTCCACATTGATTGACCCATTGTGGTCCCATTGTTTGACCTACATGGTCCCATTGTATTGACCAATGTGGTTCCATTGATTTTGGCCTATTGGCCCCATTGTTATTCTATTGAATGTTACCATGTATGATAATGTTTATTACTAAAGCAGATGATTGATATGAACTCATTATATCAATTGTTTTGGAATTGAAAGACATGTTTTGAATTATGTTGGACTTCATTTATTAAACCCTTTATATTAATGTTACTCATTGGACTTTAGCTCACCCCCTCCCTCTATGTGTATGTAGTTGAACATATGGAAGATCATGCTTAAGATTGCCTTGGGAGTCCACCTCCTCCTGAGAAGCTGTTTATGGAGTGCCTCTGAGTTGAGGCATTTACTTGGACTTTGAAGAGGCAAGCTTTTGTTAAACCCTTTTTGTTTTTGGTTTATTAAAGTCTTTTGTTTTGGAAGTCTTGATGTATGGAATTATATGTATGTATATGTTGAAGTTAAAATTTATTGTAAATGTTACAAGTTTGGATGCAATGATTATAATGCCGTAGTTTATCATGTAAGCACAACTCAATGGACTTGTTTTTATTATCAAAGTTTGCTTCCACTAAGGCCCGCTTATTATTAAACAATTGATTTTTGTCTTTGAGGCCGTAGGTAATCTATGATTACTAACTGGTCATGACCTAAACCTCCAGGGGCGGGTTCAGATCGTGACAACTTAACTTTCAATTAGGGCATGCATCCCACCAATCCATACTTGAAGCTAACACATCATTATCTCATAAAATTATTCAAGGGATCGAAAACCCAATATCACCCTTATTAAGTTTCCCTTTGTGTTAAGTGTTTTAAGCCAAAGTTATAACAAGTAATTGAAATGACAATTTCAACACAAGTATAAACATTTCAAGGCATAAATTTAAGGTAATACAACCACAATCATACATAGATGTCATATTAAAGCTTGAACAAACAATAAGAAGCATATTCAATCAACTAAGAACATAGAGCTATTAACAAGATAAATTTCTAGATTCGATTTAATTTAAAGATAACTATCAAAGTGGCACTTTTAGAATTTTTCCAAACTTGGCCTCTTTAGTGTTTGTAGGTAACTTTTCTAGATTTTTAGTTATTAATGAAATACTTCAGCTCTGTCTAGATTCGTTGGCTATTACGAAAATTGGTTTTTTTTCTTCTCTCAAACCGCTCATTCATTTTTAATAAAACCAATTTTTCTTGAAATTTAACACTTTAAGGAAAGTTTTGATACAAAAATGAGATCAAGAGGATTTTTTTTGAATTTTTCTAGAATGTTTGAAAGTTGATTGAAAATACTGGTTATTTGCACACAAAACTTGAAATGAAAAGAACTGTAAGAAAATGAGGCAACCATGGGAAATTTTACATTTATCTTATGATGAAAACATGCCAAATAATATACTAATAACTCATATTTTTAGTTTGAAGGTGTGCCTTTAAAAATAATGTATGAAATGGATAGAAAT